CCAGATTAAATTTTCTTTTTAAACAGTATAGCCGTCCGGCTATACTACTTATATATAAAGAAAAGGACGTGTCCAGCGCCTAGGTGCAGTATAAGTGACAACGTTTGGGCTAAGCCCCATACTGACCATCTGCTTCTGCCATCTTTCCTGTCTGACGAAATCCATTAATTATAGTCGTACATGTTGCGTAATCAGGGATAACTTTCCTAAGCTGCATTTCGTCAAACAGCTTACGTGCAGCTTGAATATGTCCCATCTTACAGAAACCATCAGTTATGAGTTGTGTAGACGACATTATCTGGAAGAAATCACCAGAGCCATCATCTCCCTCAATATCACTTCTGCTTCAGATAGTTTACCTGATGTTGTAATAATAGTTCTGCTACAAAGTCAAAAGTAACCTTTACAAAGTTCACTTAAATTTGTTAAACATTTTACTAGTTTAGTATGGAGAATTCCTGTAACGTAGTCAAAATTAATTGTTCACTGTGTTATTAATTCTTGATTTAGGTAATTTTTCTCCTTGTTTTAATTTTTATTTATTTAGATTTACAAAATGTTTCTCGTGAAGTTTGGAGTATCCAAAAAAAATACCAAAAGATGAAAACAAAATTACACTTGATATGCAATGCAAAAAGTGTTCTCTAAGTGGCTGTGATCAATTAAAACTAATAAAATTTAAAAACAACAACTGCTGAAGCTGAAGCAGGTGATGATTTATTTCGCATCGCATCACATGCACATAAAAAGACGGACATAAAACAAAATAGACTAGAGTCTATGAGTTTATTATACTATAGCATATTGCCTAACATATCCGACTAATTAATCACTTACTCACACAAAATGATAATTAGAATAATTATTATTTCGGGGGAGCACCTGCACCTCTCAATTTGGCTATAACAATCTTAGCAACCTCGGCAAGCTTCTCAGTCTCAGGCATAACATCTTTCACAGCAGCATCTGCACAAAACTTGTGAGCCCATTTGGCCAGCCCTGGTGTCTTTGTTTCGTCCAGCAATTTGATCCCATTCATCTTCTCTGTCACTCTGAGCCACCCCAAGAAGCACCCAAATGCAATGTCAAGGTACCCAATTTTGTCTCCACTGAAGAAGTCCTTCCCTTTGCTAGTCTTCTGAAAGGCATCCTCCAATAGCGCCAGCCCTTCAACCACTTGCTCGATTGCCGCCTTCCTCGCCTCCTCTCCTTGAGCAGCAGCAAAGCCTTTAAGGGCCGGGAACCACTACAAGAAAATGCGACACATTGATAAGCAAATGAATCATCAGTGTATACAGAGTTAATCCTATTTTATTAAAACCAACATCTCATTTGCCCATTCACAATCAATTATACATGCAAAATTTCATTTTTAACATCACTACAAAGCTTGGTGACAAGCATGATAACCGTGAACTTCAAACTCGATGTCATGGTACTCATCACGTAGTCACTAGTGTTACTAATTTGCTTATTGTGTAACAAATTTATTTATTTATTTACAATTTTATTATCCACCCATATTTTAATATGTGGATTAATAATACTATATATTGTTGTGGTTGTTGAGAGTCATCCGATATTCTAAAAAAGTTATAAATCTCATTGAGAATTAAGATAAATGGTAATATTTCATTGATAGGGAGACAAATCGGTACGACTTTATGGCATAAAATGTCACACAAGTATGATATGTGAGTAAACCAGTAATATTATTAATTACTTAGAGCAACTTCACCCATTTGCCCTTTGCCATGGCAAGGGGGGCTAGGGCAGCCACTATTCACGTGAATAAGCTGCCCTTGCAAAAGATTGTGGTGTTTCCACCAATTGCCATGGCAACAATTATTTACATGAGATATAAGGAGAGAAATTTGTATAGAGTTTTGGTGTAGAAAGTGAAAACTATAATTAAGTATTTATTTTTAAAAAAATCTGAAATTTTTTGTAGATTTTTTCCAATTTTTTTTTGTTGCTGATGTCATCGATGACATCAGCAAATTGGGGCTGGAACTAAGACAGATCTTGCCTGAGAGCTAGCCTGGGTTCGTGGGCCCCATCTCCTGCCAGGGCTAGCCCTTGCAGCTGGAAACAAGATTTTGGCCCAAACGCGAACTAAGACAGATCTTACCTGAGAGCTAGCCTGGGTTCGTGGACCCCATCTCCTGCCAGGCTAGCCCTTGCCGCTGGAAACAAGATTTTGGCCCAAACGCCCCCCAGCCCTCCCTTTAGGCGCATCGGTGGAATCGCTCTTAACGGTTTGTCTTTTGTAGGATCCAGTTGGTTAAGTCCAAACAACAATAACAAATAAGAAAGCTCGAACAAATTCTTTTTTAAATTACACATCCAGGACAGGAGGTCCAAAATCTGACAAATATATATATATATAGTAAGAAGGCCCTGAAGAAAAAATCATATATGCATGAATTAATACCTTCTCGTCGATATAGGAAGCCCAAAATCTGGCAGTAGCACGATCATAAGGTTGAGAAGGGAGGATGGAGGGACCAGATGCCCAAACCTCGTCGATGTACTCAACAATGACGAGAGATTCACATATGGGTTTGTCGCCGTGAATAAGAACTGGGATTTTCTTGTGGACAGGGTTCGATTGGAGCAGAAGCTGGCTTTTCGATCCAAATGTCTCCTCAAGAAACTCATAGTCCAGAGACTTGATATTCAGAGCGATCCGAGCTCTCATCACAAATGGGCTCGGCCATGCTCCCAAAACCTTCAAGTCATTCTTGGCCATGATCGATGAAATAAATTCCACTCAAACTCAAAAAAGCTTTCAAGGCACAGACTGATGACTTGAGGGTTTTATTTATAAATGAGAATGAGAGGTGGCTGTGGTGTGTTTGGTGTGAACGTAAATGACAGGATTGACATATTAGGTGTTGAAGTGGATGGTAGAAGAAGAGGTGTGAAAGGTAGGAAAATATTAATGCTGATAATGTCAAATTGGTAGCGGCTGTACCATGCAACGCAAGTGATGGTGGGGTGTCTTCAGCGTTTTCAACCATTTGAGTTGCTGGGATTTGATTTCAGAAAGTAAACGCAGGAAAGGGAAGGGAGGTTGGTGTGTGGTGTGGCAGAGAACAAAACACGTAAGTAAGAAGATATTTGAACTCTGAACTCTTCGTGCTGCGTGGCTTTTTTGTATCCAGTCATTTCCTACGTAGAGAAAGTTTCTTGTGCGTGTGTGGATGTGAGCCCCTTTGATCCCTGACATGAGATAGCTGACAAAGTCAATCAGTTGTGTATTTATTGGTTCATTTTTCCAGCATTCATTACCACACTAAATGCTATTAAGCTACGTTTAGAAAGAAAAATTAAGTATTGGGAGTAATGATAGGTGCCCATATTTATGAGGCCCGCCGACCAATCTATACACGTGGACGGTTAAAATATATCCAACTAGACATCTAGTTTATATGAATTACCTAAAAATTTAAAAATATAAGAAACATCTTTGCACCAGCCGGGAATCGAACCCGGGTCTGTACCGTGGCAGGGTACTATTCTACCACTAGACCACTGGTGCTATTGCCTTGTTGTTGTTTAAACTTACAGAATCTACTAATTTATAAGCTTCGGTTAGTTGAGGTATAAGAGATGGCTTAAGTCAATCAAGTCAACTTTTTTTTGTTGAGTTACATTGGAGAAAATAAACCCAATTGGGTTCGATCCTGAGTGTCGTGAGGGAGGGGCAATCCACCACCATTGTGGTGGGGACCCATTGTTTGAATTGTCGCTTAATTGATTCATTTGGGAATCAATTCCCAATAGCTAATAAAATTTGCTTATTGTTTGTTTAACCCTGATCCACTTACATGATGAATAATGCTAAGAACACAATTTATGCACCATATTTGAGTCCCAACTAATGTGACAAATGACACATAATCAATTAATTACCAATATGTATTAATTATCAGCAATTAATTTATTTAAAAAAAAATTAAAGCATAAATGTTAACTGTAATTAACCAAATGAAATCCCAAAAATGATCACCACCATATCCCCCCAACCACGAGATCTCCCCACCCCCACCCCCACCCCAACCACCTACAACACCCCATCAATTTATCGTTTACCAAAATTAAATGGGAGGCGAATGGCTGGTCAGAAAATTTGTTTACAACTCTTTTGTCGATTGAATGAATCCATGAAGGTTGACTTGGGGTAGGGTGAATTGTTGATAAAGGTGCAGCGGCGGCGGGACTGGTTGTGGTGGAACATGATGGTGATTAGGTTTGCAACTTTGGATTAATCAACTTACATGGTTTTATTTATTTATTTTTCTTTTTAGAATAATACATGTTGGTAATTTTATTAAATTAAAGTGTTGATATGACGTGCGACACATCATTTGGGACTCAAATTTGGTATATAGCATTACCCCTTAGCTGATATATGCTTAACTTATGTTTACAATAACATCGAAATTGATTCAGTCAAACAAGCACCATTCGTCCCACTCATCAGTGGCTCTCGGTCTTAAGTTGGCCCTCCAAATCAGCAGCTTCAGTTGTTTCTTTCTGGAATGCAAGAGCTCCTGCATCTTCTCTAGGGACGGACCCACAGTGGGGTCAATGGGATCAAATGACCCTATGGACTCCATGAAAATAAGCTTGAAGGTCCTCTTGAGCTGACTGTGCGACCCCATAAAATGCCCTCCAACTGTTTGATATTTGGCTTCAATGAAAGGCTTGCTACGCGAGGAAGAAGAAGAAGCCCAACGCACTTCTTTTTTCTAAAACACTCTGGCCAAAACGGCGTCGTTTAGGCATAGCGAATTTGTTTTTTAAACCAGCTCCAGCCATTCCAAAACCCCTTCACCTAAGCCCAGCAACTCCAAAACCCCAAATCTTTTCTCCTCAACCCTAAATCCCCAATCTCCCCCCTCCTCCTCCCCCCAAAAAACGAAAACCTTTAACTCCCTCCCCCCTCCCCCTAAACCTTTAACCCTCATCTCCTCCACTACACTATGACCTTATGAGGTAAGATTCTTGGGTCCGTCTTCTCTGCTCATAACACCTCCAACTCTACCATTGAATGCTACACCCAGTCAAAGTAGTTAAGATCAGAATAATGATGACATAACATTTGTAAGCTGCAAATAAACGTCCTTCCATGCCAAATCTTGAAAGAAAAAGAGTAAACAAAAAAAATGATAGAAGTACAAACAAGATACCCAACTTTACTGGGGAGATTAGTACCTGGTGTATCTTCTTTTATCATTTTAGCAGTGATTCAATTCAAACGGATAAATGTTCGAACAAAACAACCATCTTGAGATTCCTTGGATATGTTTATGGAACGTGTGGTTCCTACTGGCCCAGCTTCATCTATCTTTCCATTCATATCAAATATTGATACCCAGGTACTATGCATATCTTGGTCCTTGAATAACAAAGCGAAACATATCTCATAATGTAGGAAGCACAGATTCATCAAGTAACAAGAAAAAACTTAGAAATGATACCATTAAGAACTCGGCATCATCATTTTAGAAAAACTGTGCAACATTCTTGGATCATATTAAACGCATAGGGCTGAGAAAATTTACCATGATGGATGTATTACCCGAGATGCAAGTTCAGAGAAACCAAAACTGACAATTTCTGTCCAAAAGATCTCAATAGAGGAGCACCACACAAGAGTCAGCTACATGTCTTCATTCTTGGGTTTGCCCACAAGACAATTCTCTATAACTTCATCACAGAGCTCAAGAGTAATGTCCATGTTACCTTCTTCATAGTTCATATAAAAAAAAATGTTGTATGTTTCTCTATCTGCAACTACACCATGTCTCCGCATCTCTTCAAAGAGCTCCCTTGCCTCCGGAAATTTCCCTTTCCTAAAAAGACCCTTAATAAGTGACGAAATCCGGCAGCCAATTGCTGGCTCGCACTGTAACAACTTGCTGTGGGAATAAATCTCTTTCCTGCAATTTCTCTTTCCTGCAATTTCCTTATGCAAAAACCATGCTTCTTTCATATTCCTTGCCTTACAATGCCCTTTTATTAAAATGTTATAGGTGTTGTTATCAAGCATTACCCCACCAGCACGCATGCTCCTATACATATCAGTTGTAGTACGCATATTATTTCTAATGCAGTACTGCTTCATGAGAGAATTATAAGTGCCGGCATTAGGCACTATACCCTTCTCTAACATCCACTTAAGTAGCCTCTCACCATCTTCTAGCATTCCTGACATACAAAATCCATTCATTAACACATTAAATGTCACAACTGTAGGTTGAAGCCCTCTATTGAGCATCTCACGCAAGACATTGTGTGCCTTAGCCATCTCCCTTATCTTACAATATGCATCCATCAGAGTAGTATAAGTAACAGTATCAGGATGCGGCCCAGCAACCATGATTAGGTCACATATCACCCTTATAATGGACTAAATTAAATCTGGTTGACAAAGTAAAAGAAAAAACAAAACCAATTTACTTGTTTCAGTACCATGTTGAGCATAATCAGTTGATTAGGCCACTTTCTAATTCTCAGGAAAAAAGGTTGGAGATCAGATACAGGAGAAAGGCAAAATATAATTACAATCAATCAGAGAAGCAGTAAGGACCAGCATCATAGACATAAAAGATAAACACTGTATTTGATTACTTTCATAGAGGCCATACTAATATAATTATATAACTCGTAAAAAAGAGTAAAGTAATTCTTGCAAAGGGTTCACTTGTATAGTTGTATTGCAGTAAGTATGCAAATCATCTTGACCATTCGATCAAACATGCATATATTTCCTTAATCCTTGTCCAAAAATGTTTTCATGAGAGAACATTTTATTTTTCCGCTCGCATAGCTAAAACAAGGGCAGATGTAGGGGCTTCGACTTTGAGGACACTTAAGGAAATGCCAGTCAAACTTTTTCCGATAAAAGATCTTTTAATTCTTAAATTGTGTACTACTTAAATTGTGTACTATCTCAGTCTTTTCTTCTTCTTTTTTTGGTCAGAAGGTAAGGGGCCGTTCGGTTAAGTTTTCAGCGCCCGTTTTCATTTTCTGAGAATGAAAACAAACCAAGAATCCGTTCGGTAGACTAAAACAGAAAACAGTGAGAATGTTTTCATAAAATGAAAACAACATAACGTGTACTTTGGAAAAACAGAAAAAATATGTTTTCATTCTCACAGAAAACAAACTCCTAAACCATAAACAGAAACCCACAACCCCATCACTCTACCCAGCAAAACAGAAACGAAACGAAAATCACACCAAAACATAAACCAAAATCAAACATACCACGGCCACGATTGTCAGACCATCATCATCTCAACCGCCATGACTCTGCCATTGCCACCAAACCTCACAGACCCAGTCCCCACATCACCACCACCTATCAAACCCAACCGACACCAACACCAACACCATGCCAATGGAATCACGACCAAACACCCAATCGAACCCAATACACATCTCGCCACCTAGTAAAAAAGCAATCGACCCCTAGCACCTCCACCACCCATACCCAATCAAAGCATCACCATCGCCATCACCTCCCAATTAAGGAGGGGGGAAGGGAGAGAGAGAGAGAGAGAGAGAGGTGGGTTGGTGGGATTCATGCCATGGAAGGAAGGAGTGGGTGCAGCGGCATGAAGAGATAGTAAAAAAGAGGGAAGGGAGAATGAAAGAGAAAGTAGAGGAAGAAAGAAAGGAACGGCTTGGAAAGGGAGAAGAAAAGAGAAAGGAGAGAGGAAGAAAGAAAAGGAAAAAAGAAGAAAAGAGGAAGAAAAAAAAAAGAGATAAAAATAAATTTAACTTTTAAAAAACAATATAACTTTTTATTTGTCAAATTATACTTTTAAAAAAATGTTTTTTAGAACATAAATTAGCAAAAATATGCTTAAAAAATAACTCACATATTATTTTTATTATCAAATTGTACTACCAGACACGTTTTCATTGTTTTTGTTTTCTGAAGATGTTTTCCAATTAATCTACCAGACGCATTTTCATTTCCTGAAAATGCAAATTTGTTTTCTTGTTTTCATTCTCTGAAAATATTCTTAGAAAACACTCTCTGAAAACGCTACCAGACGGGCCCTAAGATTTCATTAACAGGCCAAAACACAGCCACCAAAATGAAACCAAACAAGGGAAAAAAAGTCCCAAACACACAGGACGAGCAAAGAAACAAACTAAAAGCAAGCTGCAAGTAGCCATAACACAGACGTCTCAAAGCTGTTCTAAACGTCACCACCTGCAAAAAGCCTCCATGCAAACTAAGGGTGAGGGCTGGGTAAACCATCCTTATTCAGAATGTGCACCAGGGGAAATGGGGTCGCCTGACCCAAGTTCCTTGTTTATCTTCACATGAGCCAAATTCTCAATATGATCTGCTACCACATTTGCTGATCTTGGACACCAAGTCTAGCTAGAAAACTCAAACTTTGGATGGCCAAGTTGATCCCGAATCCTACATAAAAGCGGGTACAACTCCCACCTACCACGATTAATGTTGCCATTGATCCCACGCACCACCTCCAAGCAGTCCGACTCAAACTGGACATGTCTGAACCATGTTCAATAGCTAAAGAACAGGCTTCAACAGCTGCCAAAGCCTCAGCCTCCTATGCAGAGTTTGTCATACAGGGAATAGCCATTTCCAGAATAAAGGTTCCCCTATAGTCACGAACAACCAAACCAATGCCACCCTGATTGGATGTGGGAGACCACGCGTCATCCAAGTTAATTTTAACTCTAGGAAGCACCGGAGGAATCCAAGTATAAGAAGCAGTTTCCACAGGCGTGGGGGAGGGACAGTTCAGACAGGCAGCGGTTACAGCGTCAACAAACTCCAATTCCGCCGTAGAGATAGCAGAGATGGCTGCCAATGGTGACGGGGTCTTCCTTCAATGACTGCTTTACAGCGAAATTTCCAAATAAACCAGCAGGTAAAAGCAATAGACGTAGCCATATGGGCTAAATCAGCTTCATTAAGGCTTGCCCAGATCACCACCTTAAGGAGCCACTCGCACATCGTAGTGATTTCACTTTCACAGATTCTCATACTCAAAACACCTCCAAACCAGACAAGACTAACTCATGGATAAAGGAGAAGAATATGCTCGACAGATTCCTCATATTGATGGCATAAAGCACATAAGGGCGAAGATCTCACCCTTCTCCTATAAAGATTCTCATTTGAAGCCAAACCCCGCCTTAGAGCACGCCATGGAAAATTTCTAATTTTTGGGGGGCAATTAATTCCCCATATGAGACTCCAGATTTCAAGAGGTACCTAAGACAAGCAGTGACAGATCCATGAATCTTACCTCGTAGGGTCATAGTGTAAAAAGTGATGGATGTGGTAGTAGGATTTTGGTGGCGGCCACAATGGAGGACATGAGGGTTAAGGGTTTTAGGGGGAGATTTGGGGGTTTAAGGTTGAGGAGAAATAGAAATGGGGTTTGGAGTGGATCTCGTGATTTTATCCGATAATCCAATTATATTCCGAATATATTAACCTGTTAAGTTAACATAACAAATCTGGATTTGGCTATATTCGATCCGATAATAATCAGATCTGTTTTGATATTATTTAATTTTTATATTAATATATATTGATATATTAATTGGTTTACTTTTTATATTTTAAATCCAATGTTTTAATAGCCCAATTGATATTTAAATCCCTTTAAACCCAACTTTACCCCGACGTCTAAAGCCCAACTTCACATCTAATTAAGCTAAAGCCCGAATAATAACCCTACCTCTCTCCCACTCAACCCTATCATTCTTCTCTTACACCTCCTTTGTTTCAGCCGCCTCCCATCTTTAAATAAAAATAAAAAATAAAAAAAACTTTTTTCTCTCTCTCTCTCTCTCTCTCTCTCTCTCTCAACTTTCCTCTTCTTCATGGTTCCCTCTTTCTTTCTTTCTTCTCTATGTCTCTGTCTTTCTTGACAGAGTTAGAAACCCAAATTAAGAGTGAAGGAACACAAGAAGCGTGCCCTGCTTCTTCTTCCTCTCAGGTAAACCAGTGAGCAATTGAAGGGCATTTTGTGTGGTCGTTCAACCGGCTCAGGTGGATCTCCAAGCCTATTTCCATGGCTTTCGTGGGGTCGCTCAACCCCAGTGACCCCACTGTGGGTCCGTCATTGGAGACAAGGTAGAAGCCTGGTTGATTGTCCTTGGGGCAGCCAAACGGTGGATCCAGTGATATCCAGACTTGACAGAGTAACTCCCAGACTTCTCCAAAGGCCAAATTAGTCTATCCCCTGCAAATCTTAAATCAATGGGGAACTAACCTGATAGCTTGCTTCTCCAAATCACTAAGCAAACCCTCGATGGACTCAAAATTCCATGCCCCAGTATCATGGTCAATTACCTCCTCAGCTGTCATATTCCAAACCTCATTTGATGATGGAACACAACGTGGGTGTAGGTCGGGCATAGATGGGACCCATCAATCAATCCAAATTCTCGCCCTTGCCCCATTGCTAATTTGTCATTGAGCTCCAGCTCCAGAGTCTTTTCTTTTCAAGGTTATCTTAATAATCTGTCTGGCATTTCATCCCTAGCAATATACAATGAAACGACTCAATCCGTTAAAATTTATTTGGTTACATTAACACATTGATAAGAACCATCATTATATCACATGAGTGAGTTTGACATGTCATTTTTGATGATGCATCATGCCTCCTTATTAGGTGAGAGCAAGGTCTAAAATATCGATGGTACCAGAAATATCGGTAGTCTAAAAACAAGGAAATTTCGATGGAAATATCGAGATATTATCGATATCGATAAAAATTGAATAAAAACCACGGAAATTGAAAGAAAAACTTGGAAATTTTTATTGAAACTTTCGCAGATGTTTATTCAATCAATTATCTATTAGTTCATCACAAAAAATTGGAAGCAAACTTATTGCATGATGGGTTAACTAATTTAAGTTGATTATATAGAGAGCTGACAAATACTGTGAGTGTAGAAAATATGTAGTAATTAATGAAAAAAGATTAAACACACCATAATCATTTATATATAATGATTTACTACAATATTTAACACTTTATACATTGCATGGTAAGATACATGAGTGACTTAATACCACATAGAGTTCTTTTAAAGTTCAAAATTTTCACTATCTTCACAATCTCAATGTGTGGAGTAAGTGTATTGTGAAGAGTAGTCATCAAATGATAAACCCCCAAAATAGTTTTGCATGTAATTGTTCAAAACAAAACAATATAAATATACATATTTTAGCATCTTAGCACAAAAACATAAGCAACATTGTGGTTAAGGCATTGGAGGAGTGAAATGGCAAAGGTTTGAATCCTCTTTGTGTGTGCTTTGTGTTTCTTTTTTTCTTTTTTTCCCATTACATTGATATTTTCGATATTTTCAATATTATAGTGATATGATAGCAATATTTTGACAAAATATTGCTGAAGTGTGAGCGAATTATCAACATCGATATCTTCCGATATTATTGATATTTATACGATATGTGTATGAATACGTTCCGAAATATCCGTGACCCGAAAAAACAATAATATCCTCAATATTTCGTCAATATTATCGATATTTTAGACTATGGGTGAGAGTTCTTGTGTAGTGCCCTAGATGAAATAGTGGGAATTTTATCATGAGATGTTGAATTTTATTTTATCGCATGAATTGTACGACAAGGTTCATTTGGGATGGATCATAGATGGATAGATGACTGACTGATCGAACCTATCATATGTTCACTAAACTATGGGAAAGATCACCATGGTTGAAAAATGTTTCTGGAGAAAGGTTCCTTTAATGGGAAAAGTGGGGAAAAAAAACATAAACATTAGAGATGTAAACTAAAGGTGTCAAACGTGTCGTGTCGACTCGGCCAGTTTAGAGTCGACTCATTTAATAAATGGATTGTGTCGGGCCCGCCCATTTAAGAAAATCATCAATTCCGCCCCAAGCTCATATGGGCTCAGGCCGTGCTTGTGCCAGGCCATTAAACAGTCTAATATGGGCCCACGTCAAATTTGAATTATGTATTGCATTTTTATTGTAATATTTTTTACAACTTCATTTAAATATTTTTTACAAGGGTAAATGGTTGAAAACCCCCCTGGACTATTTGGCTTGTCGAAATGTCTACCCTGAATTTTTTTTTCAGCCAATTTAGCCTTCGTATTAAATTTAATCGCCAATTTAACACCTACCGTCAAGTTTCTACACTTCCATCCAATTTTCCGTCAATTACAAGGGTAAATTTGTCATTTTACAAAGTACAATATTAATAAAATTTTAAAAAAATGTAAAAACAAAAAATAGGCTAAACTTAGATCTATTTTTCCAAAAACCTATTTTCTAGGTTTTTTTTTCTTTCATAAACGGTGATGTTTTCTCTGTTTGCTTCTCTAATGGTGGGTTTTGATATGAAATTTTTCAGTTTTTTTTGGTTTATGAGTATCAATATATTGGACTAGCTGAGGATCTGGCGCTAATGGCGGAAGAGGCCGACGTTCCGATGGAGCAGGTTGAGCTTGGACTAGCTGAGGATCTGGTGCCACTAGCGGTGACGATGCAGAGGTCGGATCCAATTGTGACGGCGTAGTCGACGTCGGCTATGATCTTGGTGAGGGGGACAAAGGCAGCAGCGTGCTGGAGGTCGAGCATCTCGCCGCAGAGCTTCTCGAGTTTGGTATGGGCGAAGGCCATAACCAAGTTGCTGACGCCGATGACAGAGAACTTGGTGTGGCGCTTGGTGGAGGAGGGAGAGGCGGCGTCGGAGATGGGCTTGAAGAAGGCTTGGGTTCGACCTTGTCGTCTGCACTGCGTGAAGAACTTAGGTATTCAACGATTTTGTGGAGATAAAATTCTCGATGCTGTAGTTGTTGATTCCGAAAAAAAATCCTATTTATTTCATAACCTTGCTAATCTGGTGGTTGATGATGCGGATGAAAATGGATCCAGCTTTGGAGCAAGGTATGAAAAAGGAAAAAGAAATTGCAAAAATTAAGTGAAGTGAAGTGATTTAAAATTTAAAAAGAATAAATTGAAAAAGAAACAGCGGATGAAGTGATTTAAAATTTAATTATTTTAAACTTAAAAAAATTAAATAGTGAGTCATGTGCCTTCCATGTGACATTTAGAAAGAAAATTGGATGAAATTGCATGACAACTAATGGCAGGGGCTAAATTGACCATTTAAAATAATCTGAGTGCTAAATTGGCTGAAAAAAAAATTCAGGGTGAACATTTCGACAAGCCAAATAGTCCAGGGGGGTTTTCGACCATTTACCCTTTTTACAATTATGTATATACTAATAAGATTTATTATTTGTTTTAAAAAAAAAGTCAACAACTTTATTTTAAGTACATTTAAATAAAAAATTGTTAGATTATTGTTTCGGTTTTAAAAATTGAAACTTCCAAAATAAAATTATTATTTTATATATAAAAAGTCCAAAAGAGTCGGATTATTCAGGGCAAGCGTCTAAGAGTCACTGCACCAAGTTCACGCTTGTTTTCGACTAGCGTTCGTTCCTACGATGGACTCATGTTCTAAAGAAAGAGTCTTGATTGCAAAAGTGGGCTGATTCCTATCTATCTTTGAAGCCAACACAACAAAGGGGCAATACTGGTGCCCAGCACACTTGACTCTGACCCTAAAATTATCGTTCTTCACAAATTTTATAGATTTGCCTTCGACAATTGCACACTACTTAATAGCTTCCTTCACTTCTTCTTTGTTGGCAAACTGCATTCCTAACATAAACTGAGGATTTCTGAGGTCAGTCTCTCTTCTAATTGTTTAAAGTTTGGTAATTTTCTCTTCTTTCTCTTCTTTGACTTCTTGCTAAAATATGAATATGGGTTTTTGAATATGTTAGGTTCTTCTTTTATTCTTCTCCATAAGGAGGTATATATAAGAGTTTACATGAGTGCTTTACAAGGAATTAGATCCAGTAAAGAATTAGGAAAGTATCTCCTAATTATATAATGATTTGACAACTATATAAAATAGGAAAGTAAATCCCTTAATTAACCAAAGGAAATAAATCTATAAAATAGGAAAGTAAATCCCCTAATTAATCAAGGAAATAAATCTCTAATTAATCAACAAGGCGTTTGATACTATTCCTTATTGGTTGGTTCTTGGTCCATGTCTTCACATAACTTGTGATTCATCTCAATGAGTGTGTCAGCCGGCACACTAAATGACTTCCTCAGCAGTGATTGGTGTGGTACTGGAGCTGGAGCGGGCAAAATCTCATAAGACGGTTCAATGTCCTCCTCTTGATTTTGATAGCATGGAGAAAACTGATCGTTTTCCACTGGTGACCGGTCGCTGGATTTTGGCGACCGGTCGGTTTGGAACAGCTTCTCTGACTACCAGTCGCTTTCTACTGGCGACTAGTAGTTTTGAAGCAGATTCTCCGTATTCGAAGAACTGAGGGGGGGCCGGTCGCTTTCCACTGGTGACCGACCGTTTGATTTAGGAATTTGATTTGAGGAATTTGATGTATGAATTGGATTTGAGAGGTATGTGTATAAGATTTGATGGGATTCGGATTCGGATTTGGATTTGGATTAGGAAACGATATCCATGACAGCGGAATGATTGAAGAATAAAAGAAAAAAGATGTGTTTAGGGTTTCGGGATAAGAGTATATGAGGATTCGGGTTTAGGCCTGAATCTGAAACTGGAAATACGAGGAATACGATATGAGGGATGTGATTTTGGGTAAGAGGAAGACGATATGAGGAATTCTAAGGCGGTATGGGAATACGATACGAGGATACGAGGAATTTGAGTTAGGATACGAGGATACGATACGAGGATATGAGGAATTTGATTTAGGATTTGTGGTTCAAGAAAATTCGATACGATACGAGGAATACGATATGAGGAATGTAAAGAACACAGAAACCCTGTGAACACGGCTAA